TTTAAGGAAAAGAGAAGAGTTAGACCCCAGAACCAAACCAAGCTGAGGTGGGGCTGGAGCCGGGAGGGCTCAGCCAGAGCCGGGAGGTGCTTTTGGGCAGCGGAGCAGGCAGGAGCAAGGCACCAGTTCTGCCTGTGGCAGCCACCCCGCTCCCTGCACCAGCCCGTGGTTCAGGGGGAGCCCCGGGCTGGGGAGGGCTCCCGCTCCAGTTTGCAGCCTCCTACAGAGGCTTCCAGTTGCATAGGGAGCCCAAGGGCTCCCCAAAAGATCACAGCACTTAGATGTGCCCCCACCACCACAGCAGAGGAGGAGGAGGATGTCCTAGCTCCTGTGGCAGCCCTGTCTCCCCAGGGTGCATCAGCAAGGGCAGGGAGCCCCCCAGAACCAGGCTTCCAGCCCCACTGCAGACAGTTACAGCTCCCGCTGGGGAAGAGAAGCGCTCAGCCCTGCCGGAAGCCCAGCAAACACCCCTTCCCCAGCAGAGAAGCCAGAGGGTACGATTCAGAGAGCTATTTCACAGTGGCAAAAGAAAGGCACGTGTCAAGAGAAAGTCAGAGGGGCACCGCCGCAGGCAGCTGGTGCAGAGGGGTGTGGGGGGGTCCTGGCTGCACCCACGTGCAGCCCCGCCAGCACCTGGCCCACCATGCACCCCAAGAAGCCTGCCTCTCCCCAAAAGCCCTGCCGCAGCTCCTTCCATGCAGGGGGACCCATCACAAGCCCCCCACACCAACCACCTTCCCCACATACAGATCCCTCCTCACACAGTCACTGGGTGGGGGCCAGGGGCCCCGCACCAGACCGCTCTGCAGGATCAAGCCTAATCTTCCTTCCCATGCCCCCGAAGCCTCATCTAGAGCAAAGCAAGAGAAGTTATTGCTGGTTTTCCTTCCCCTCCCCCCCCTCCATGACTCCAGCACCCCTCACCCTGGTCCCACCACCACCAGGGAGGGATGCTCCCATTGTCTCCCATTGTCCCCACAGCCCTGGATGAAGAGTGATCCTGCACAAAAATATATCCTATAGGCAACAAAACAAAACAAAAAACCCCCGAAAACAGAAGGCGGCGAGCGAGGTCCCAGTCTCTGTCCCTGCAGATGACTCCGAGCAGAGGGAAGGCGTGGGAGAAAAGGCAGTTCCCAGTCAAGGCAGAGATCCGGAGTCCTTTTGCAGCATCTGCGCCGGTCAATCCGGCAGATTCAGGCAGGAGGGTTTGACTCTCTGGAGGAAGGAGGTGGCAGAGGACAGGGAGGAAGAGTTGGCTGTTGAGGTGTCCCAGAACAGGGAGGTGCAGCAGTCTGGAGGAGGCAGAGCGGCCTGGGCTGCTCCCAGAGGACCAGGCCCAGTCATTTGGCTGGCTAGTTGGCACAAACAGTCCAGCAGAGATCCAAAAACGAGACAAGGTAAAAGTCAGTCCATTCCACCATGAAGAGTTATATATATTTATATATATAATATATTATCAACCCAAACTGAGCGGAGGTGGGGACGGCAGCTAGATCTTCTGCTGTGGAGAATGAGGGAGAGACGTTAGCATGCCTAGAGAGCAGGCGAGCCGCGGAGGCGTGATTGTGGCCCCGGTGGATCAGGCAGCGATTGCAGGCAGCAGCAATCAGAGAGCAGAATCTGGCTGGCCAAAGCACCCCTAACAGCGCAGCAGGATCTGTCACCACTGTTCAGATTGGGCAGGACACCGCGGGACATCCCGACACGGGATAAAACACAGCGGAAGCAGCATCTTCCGCCTCCTCTACCTCAGGCTGCGGTTCCTGCCCCTCCTCCTGCTGCAGACACATAGGGGTTAGTTGGGGCGATGAAGCGGGGCGGGCTGGTGTTAGCTGTGGGAGCCCGGTTCTCCCCCCCAGCCAGCCAGAAGGGCGATGCGTTACCTCCCACACCCCAGGCCCGCTCGCTCTTCCCTCATGAGGAAGAGCTGCTCACCATCAACGGCGCTGCCTTCACTGGCTCCATATCTCCGAGGTCACCAGATCGGTCCAGTGTCCTGCTGTGGTCCCTCTCATTGAGCGTGGAATAATTGTCTGGGGCAGGAGAGGGGACAGTCAGTCATGTCACCTCCATGGGAGGCAGCATCATCCCCACAGGAGTGTGAGCTCTGCCCCCTCCCAGAATACCAAGATACTGCCCCCCTTCCAGTCCCCCTCCTACCTGGTCCCATGTTGCTCATCTGGATCTCCTCCCGGGAGGATTTCTTGTCTACAAGAATGGGAGAGCAGCAGGTCACATGCAGCCCCTAAGCAGCAGCGGAACTGCTGCCTACCCCAGCTAGAGGAACCCAGACCCCACTGCAGCACTGCTGACTCCAGGATGTTACAGGGCCCACGTTTAACTGCATGCATCATTTCTAGCCCTGAGAAGCCATCTAAAGCCCAAACTGATGGCCCTGTGTGAGCAGCCACAGCTACCAAGAAAGCCAGGGCTGAAGAGCAGGGAGGGGGACAAAGGCTGTTCTGGGTACCCACATACCTGTTTTTTGGTTCCTGTCAATGAGAGGCAAGGTGCTGTCATCAAACGAGTTGCCTCCCTGGGTCCGAGAGGCATTGCTCAGGTTCACCTGGAACATCAGACAGGGACCACTCACACCCTGGCCCAGGCACTCCTTCCCCATCAGCACATCTCACCTGTCCAGCCCCCAACATCAGGACTGACCCAGGAACCCGCCCACAGCCCCTGAAGCAACCAGAGGGTGCTCCAGAGCCCATGGCTGCACCCACATCAGAGAGGGGAGGGGGGCCGCCCGGGACT